GACAGAAATTAAATTTCAGTTTCGATTTGATTTGAGCCGCGTCGTGTTTTGAACTTGGGTTTTTGAGATCCGGTACTTGTGCTACAGCGCGGGTCCGGGGTAATTTTCAGCCGAAACCCTTTTCCCTCGTCTGATAAGGGAACGGAGAACAAACTGTTGGAGCAAAATACACGAAGACCGTCACGCGAGGACACTTTAGGGACTTAGAGACGCGCTTGTTATGCTAATCAACGACTAGCCGAACGTTGTTCCGAGTGCATTGAGGTCGTCTTTGTAGGGCTATAGCATCGAGAATGAAGGGTCGGCGTAGCATATAAAAGTTATTGGCGTCGTTTTGCAGAAAACGTACTAAAAATAGACGCTAAGACCAGAGGTGTTTCTTTCAAAGGGAGTTTAAGAATATATATACATACGTTAGAAAGTAAACACATAAGACAGACCTACTTTCGCGAGACAGTTTGTGCGTAATTGTACCCGTTGATTTGTTTTTAACACAGAGGCCATATTGTTACACATGGCTTCCTGTTGATCTAGTCAAATTTAAAGTATGCCCTACGCCTCATTTCCTTTTTCTTAATTTGCATAAAAGTTGGACGGCAAAATGTCCATAAATATTTCCCACAATCAACAATTTACGATGTGTCTTTATAAATAAGACATCAATACGTACACAGACGCATTAAGAGACTCCCTATAACGTCATCATACTGGTTATAGGCAGTTAACGTGTTAGGAACATCTCCGCTACAGTAATCAAATTATCGTGACAGGCTAAAAATTGCACTTCTTGTTTCAATGGGAGGCCACAGAAACCATTACCATTAAAACTACAGGAACACGAAGTAATATAGTGATTTGATATAATTCCCCACAGAATTATCTCTTGCTAGATAAAAGTACCTGTTCGCACTGTTATACCTACACCACAAACAACTTTCATTTTTACACTGTATTCTCTATGTAATTGCGTGCCCTCGGTCTAATTATTTTACTCAGTAAAAAAAAAACAATCGGGGTGTGCGTTTCAAGATCTTAACCACACTATAAAAATGTAAACTAGCCATTGACGCTTTGCGCGGATGCCCAATATTAAAGTGCAGTTGGGAGATGTGGCAGCAAAGGGATCACTGCTAGAAAGGCACAATTATTAAATTTACTTTTGTAATATTCTGTAGGGCCTATTCTTCGCAATGATTGAACGTCAATATGCCACTCATTAAATAAAAAAGGCAATTTAACCAGGCTAGTGAGCTACTTTTAATAAAAACAGCTCACGGAATTTCCACAACTACCTTCGTCATGGGATGATCTGGCTTTTAAGCTGCCGAACAAACTTTCAGTAGACAAACGGCCTCCTAAAAAATTAAAGAACAATGTGATTGCTTCATGAGCAATGTAGTGTCGTTCTATTACTGTTGAGAGTAAAAATAAGGTCACATATTAATGTGATGACATATATCGAGCATCGATGTTGTTAAATAAAATTATCTGTTCATGATAAGTTTTGAGTGTGGGTTAATGACTCAACGAAGCCGACTGTAACCGGGACCAGTTTACGCAAATCAAGAATTCCAGAAGGCCTTTCAGACAAAAATACGTTAAACAGAGGACAACCTTTCTACTGGTAATTGCTATAATAACTGGAGAAAAAAGAACCAAAAGAACATCGGTGAAGTTATAAACGGAGAAGTACAGAGAATTTTCTAAAATAAGAAAGAGCGAAAAAAAAAAAAGACACTGCGAAAAAAGGAAATTTCTGTTCGTCGATAACGACTACACCAAACTCACCTTATGTAAGAAAAGCTGTGCCAAGAGTTTACCAAACAGAACAGGTGTCACAAAACCTACATTCTGCAAGATCTAGCGAAGCGTTAATATGACTTCGAAGTACTGCGTCTGATTTCTTTATCAAGTGCGACAGGAACTAGCTCCTACTTTCGTTAAAGTCGTACAAACACACGCACACACAAACACACATACGCACAAATATATATAATATATATGTATAAATATACACATAAGAATTTCTTCTCTACAGCGAGAGATAATCCGCTCCAAATTAGACCAACACCTCTTGAGCTGATAAAAAAAAGTAATTATGAAGCGGCAAAAGATTAAAGTGCCACTTCAGTTAGTTCTCCAAAGCGTAATCCCCCTAAAAGTGTCTTCTTCGCTAAAAAGAAATATAAAAATAAAAGTTGACTTATCGAAAACGACAAAGCAGCTCGCCTGTGAACCGAAAACTCAAATACCGGTCGGTCGCAGCCGTCTTCAAATGAAACGGGACACTGAACAATCTGACGCACGGAAACACAAACCAAAAAAGGAAAACGAGAAAAAATGTCACTAAGACAAGCAGGAGGACACGAAGTCAAACGGGGTGGACAAAAAGAAAAGAAAAAAAGAAAAGAGTAGCGACAATAGTGTCGCATAATAAACCCGTCAGGGGAGCTGCTGTGCACCGCGGAGGGCCTAAGGACAGCGCCACCCGCCAAAAAGACAAATAGAAAAAATAATAAAACCTTGTATTTACGCTATTCGCGGCTTCCACGAGTTTTCAGGAGACTTGGTTTCCATGGTAACGGAAATCTAGCTCTACTTTGTGCATCCGTCGATTTCTTGTTTTTTTTTTTTTTCTTCTGTTTCATTGTGTAAGAACACGCGTTTGCACTTTGAATGCAAGCCAACTTGCACGTGAATTGAGGATACGTACAGCATAGTAATTAGGGTATGGTACCAAAGATTAGGCAGTTGCACGCGGGTTCGTACAGCATGTCCCCACAAAATAGTCATGGGAAAATAGTAAGGTAAACGAACTAAAAAAAAAAAGATTTCTCAGTTTTAGTTAAAACAAGTTAAATGCAGTCATAGGAACAAAACCGGAAAGCGACCGGGGTGAACGAGAGCTCCGAGCCATTTAAATATGGCTCCAACATCCGCACCCCCTGGTATTTAGTATTTGTAGTCGCACGTGTTTCTTTATATCGATTAATTTATATATTAACGCCTTGAAGGCCCTACTGCAGAGAAAACAAATAACCGCGCAGTTAAAAGAGGAACACGAAAAAAAAAATCTTCGGCGAGATAAAAGGACAACAGCGACAAAGGACATGTACTTTGTTCGAGCCTTTGAACCTTCGTGACAAATGTGGAGACATAAAACTGTTTTCTCAAAATTACAGTTGTGCAATTCGCTGATCATTTTATGCAGCTGTAGTAAGAAAATATGCATACGACTACATTAAAAGTTTACAGCTCATAGTAAAAAAGCTCTCCAATATTTCGAAAAGTTGCGAAAATTCAGTATTTTACAATATTTAAACAATTAAAACAAAAATATTTTTCTTGAATGCTGCACGTTTAAACTCATTTTCTCAGGTTCAGTTTAAAGCCAGTAACATGTAGAAGATATGTGCCAAATTAAATGTTAATCCTATCTTTCGTTACTGAAAATAGGTACATGAAAAACTAGAACGCAGCCTAAAATGTGGTACCCAGTTGCAAAAAAACAAAAAAACAAAAAAAAGCATAAAAATATTATTCAGCAGAAAAGGCAACAGCAAGTTAATCGCAAGGGTAGAACCATTCAATACGTAACATTTTACAATAAAATGTGGGGTATTTTTTTTTCTGTACAAAACTAAAACCAAGATGACCTGTTTAAACTACCTTAAAGGGGCCCTGCAATGGCTTTTTACTGGTTTTTAATTTGCACTGCACCTGAGCGCACTAAACGTAGTAACTTAGTGAAACTTTGTTTCTCCAATTTCGCTTTATTTTAAAAGTTATAAGGAAATTAAAATTACAAAAACAAGCGAAAAATAACCTCTTTCATGATGTCCTTGGTTGCTTGAGTGCCCTTGAACTAGAGGAGGGGTAGTGAGCTCAGCGAGCGGTCACGGCTGCCGCACTCCGTGTCGACAGCTCGAGAGGGCGCCACTAAAGCATGTTCTGGATAGGCTGTATGAAGCGGGCAGCCAGGGCGGCTCTCATTGCATTTTCTGCGCGATTAAACACTAATTCGGCATGACACTTTATTGGCCACAAACAACAGCAAACACGGTGGAATGATCAGAGGCCGGATTCTCAAAGCGAACTTACGACGAAAAAAGTTCGCACGACAAATCTGAGAAAAAATCTGTATTCTCGAAACGAAATTGTCGTAACTTTTACGCAGGTAACGACAGAATCCTACGACAGCTCCGAAGCTGTCTTACGCACTTTCTACGATCAAATCAACATGGCCGACAGTGTCGGTCAGTTACTTTGTCGCGACGACCAACGGACATTAATTTTTCTACGTGCTCTTCTCGCGCGTCCCGACTTCAAGCAGCAAGAAAAAAGGAAAATGTACTTGAAATCGACCAGGACGAACGTCCTGGTCGATGAACAGGATGAACAAAAACTACTTTTATAAGTAATTGAAACGGTTCGCGCCACTTATATTTTGTATTTCGACTTCAAAGAAGCTTTTCGTGGCTCTGACCAGTAGTAAGCCCAGGACCAAATACCTCACATTTCGCGCGCTTTCGGTACCGTCGGTGGAGGAGGTTTCCGCGTCGTCCGGTTAAAATATGACGCATTGATATTAGTTACTCTCTCCGTGCCCGTTGGCTTGCCCGAACCTTAAGAGACCTGGAAACCGCAAAAAAGGTAGACGCTTAAATATGATTGCAGGGTCCCTTTAAAGTGACGAGAGGCTTACTTCTGAAGTGACTGACATGATAAGAAAAGCATGGCGTCCCAGAACGCGCCCTCGTGCTGGGACGAGACGCCAAAGAGGAATCCAAGGTATGAACCTCGCGCTGGAAGCGGGACAACGAAAAATTCCTCCCATTCCTTCTCATCTTGTTTGTGACCATAGATGTTAGTTTACTTTGAATCAACTTCGCATCCCAACAGCGGAATAAACTTCCAAGTGAAAGCCTGCTCGGTCCCATCATTAAACTGTCTGATGGCGAAATAAAGCAGAACCCACGGATGAAGAATGTTTGGCTTACCTTTTCCTTTGTTATCTGAAAAGAGAAAAGAAATAAAAAGACAATTATATTACACAATATCCTTTCGACAAGCTGTAACGGGCATGACAACATACTATCGTAAACCCAAGTGCGCGCGCACAACTGAGATGTATTGTAATCGACAAATTAGAAGACGACGGGAATTACTTCCTACGTTGCAAAGAAATAGCAGTTACTCTTAGAGGTAACTAAGCTACAGTTTCAGTTACGTCAGGTGAAATGAAAGTACGTTATAATCTCACGTTTTTTTACGAGTGAGTCCAGCTACATTTACAGATATAGATAACGTGAAACGAAGTTAAGTTTTTTGTAGGCTGCAACTATTTCGATGCATGAGGATAGTGACTGGTGACCAATGTTTGGTGATTGAAGAGCAACGCGGAAAGGTGTTGCTCCAATTCCGTTTTGGTTCAATATCAGCTGCTGTTGAGAGAACTTGAGGCATCGCAACACGAATTCGTATAGACGTAAAACGTATACACGAATTCTATTTTCGTCTATACGTTTGTAAAGACAACGAAGGCGTGGGCGAAATGGCAACATATGTTGGCTTGACGAGGCCCATCTCCATTTCCCCGGCAGAAGAGGACAGACAATAAAAATGGAAATAAACAAATATTAAAACTGAGAAAAAAAATAAACACGAAGCGAGCACACATCTTGCGAACATGGAAAAAAATTTGTTCACAATCTGCACAGATATCTAGTCATGAACAAGATGGTACATAAATATACATTTAGATGGAACGCAGTGCTAGACGTTTAACAAGAGGTTGTTTCTTATTAAATTATTTAGTATTGATAGAAGGTTATATCTTAATGCCTGGGTTCCGTGGTTTGCTTTGCTGTGGAGAATTTTCCAGGCATCTGGACTTAAAAGGTCTAAATATTGGAATTTCTAGGTAAATCAACTATCTGGTCAATTACGCGAATATTAATTTTGCAGCTTGTTACGTGCTTCTTAGATGTAATCGTAGAGATGAATGATCATAATCAAATTCGATGTTAAAAAAAAGGATTTGTAAGGGTATCATACGGCGCACCGGTGATACTTCCAGGCCGTGTTCCAAAATGTACTCGGTCTTACTCCAGGGTAAGGGTTTTGTACCTTGGCGTTCCGAAACCTACCCGCGTCCAGGGCTTTTCAATCTGTGTTGTCACGTGACACGACCCGCCGGAGTAACTCGGATCCATTTGGGTAAGATTTGGAACACAGCACCAGTGATGTGATTGGTCTTAGTCATTTTGGAGCAGCTTTTGGAGGAGCCAAAAGTGAAAATTGGAACAGCAAAAAGAACTTTTGGAGCATGAGCGCACACTTCATTTTCATTCACACTACTTTTAATGTGTGGGCCCCTTCAACTAAAAAGCAACGCCTACTTTGTCTTCTCACTTAGGTGTAGCCATCTTTAAGCATCGATCGCATAACAGCGATTGCCTCAAATACCGAACTAGCGTTTTGTTGTGTGGTCAAACACCAGACATGGGAACAAGAAGATGACTGATGAAGGACAGCATGAACTGCTCGGAATAGTTTTCTTAAATACTCAGTCCCACTGAAATAAAGTTCGAATACAATAATTTTGAGCACCTAAATTAATGTTTCCTTGAAGTACTAGATGTTGTAACAAAACTGCAATTTATAATCAAAATAAAAAAAGCACTTGTAGTGCTTTTTTCGGGTAAGTTCGCTCTTTACAAATTTTATAGAAAAATATGCAGCACCCGTGGGCAACGCTGCACAAAATCGGAGAGCGATAGGTGAATAAACCGATTTTCGCGGTCGATTTAAAAGCCTGGCCGCTATTTGAGACAGACACCCTGTATTTCCAGTATTATTAAAAATAAATTAAGGTCTGACATAATGTTGACGCCAATTCCTAAACTTTTGGTAAAATGTAGCAGGATGTAAAAGGGTAAGCACTTTGGTGCAGTCTGGCGCAAATGGGGCAGCAATCACATCACTGTACTCCAAACAACCTTGTTTGAAGCACACGTTTGTTTACGTTAGCAGCTGTCGAGGTTCCAAAACGAGATGCAAATTTTTTTTTTGTAGTTACAATGTCTCAATTAGTTAAGAATGTTCTAATTATGACAGTTTCAATGTAGCAAGATGTGACGCCAGTAGATAGTTGCAAGTGAGCAGTTTCATGATTACCGGGAAATCGAAACGAACCTTGCTAATAACCAGCGACATCCGTAGAAACCTGAAACTGAAACTGAAAAAATACGCATAAAAATTTAAGTACTGAGGACTATTTCAATTAAACTTTAAATCAATTAAACATAATATAACGAGCTTCCAGTACAAGTATACGGTCGCAAATGCTAAATTTTGTTTTTAGTTAAAAAAAAAAGCACTACCTCAGTTTTATATCTGTCTGTTTGCAGCGAATTTAAAATTCTCCATCTGCACAGACAGTCTTAAACGAGATTTACGACTTTAGCAAGAGTTCCGTTGTCATATGCACAAGGAAAATCTAGTGTCGTTGGCGTAAGCTACAAGGATCACGTCGATACCAATTTTAACAATGTTGTTGATGTAAATATATAAAAAACACTAAACCCAATACAGTTCCCTAAAGAACAACGGGTTGTAAGCTGGAACACTGATTATACTGATGATGAGAGACGTCGAATTAAAAGCAATTGTTCGGTTAGTCGGTTAAACATCATAAATAGAATAGCGAAAGAGGACAGGAACATGCAAGGGGCAGAACGAGTGCTCGTTGTCCCGTCTCTTTCATGTTCCCCTCCTCTTGCGCAATTGCATGTGCGACAGACGTCTAGACACTCGCGCACGTCGAGGGTATTAAACATTAATGAAGGCAAACTCGTACCGACACAGTGCGGTACACCGGTGAAAACTCGCGACAACTGGGCTCTTTATTCCTACGCGACAATAATACCCGAGTGACTCTGAAATGTAGCCGATATTCAGAGTCACCGACTGCGTAAGAAAAGCAGAGCGCGGTGAACCTCCAGCATCCTGTCATTGCTTCGCAGCCAATGAGAACGCGACGTTAGCCGATCCAACCAATCAGAAAGCAAAGACACGTTAACATAATTGGCTACGCCCCGGCTTTATTCAGCTCTCGGTGACTCCAGTGGCTCTATAGCCGGCCGTCCGCCGCCTCCTAGAAAACGCCGCGGAGGACGCCAAACTGGAGGAATCATCTCGAATCTCGAGGAACAGAACCACGGCAGCATACAGCCCCAACCTCGAGCGGAGCGATGCAAATTTAAAACAATTAGCCCCCCCCCCCCCCCCCCCCCTTGCTTTAATTCGGTTCGCAATCCACCATCTCGTCCGTACTCTCGATATGGAGGAGCTCCAGACTACCCTTCGTTAAACTCCGGCCCCAGAAAGCTAATTAAACTTGGGGCAAAGAAATTGGCGCCCTGCCCCCTCCCCCCCCTTTCCCAATTACAATTTCCTTAGAACTTCTCTATACTGCGTTTATGATGGACCGCAACGGATGCTGCGAATGGAGGCGACCAAGGAGCGAAAAAAGTGCATCGTGACGTCGATCGTGTCCTTCGCGGGTTCGCTAGGATCGCGAGCATGCAGAAAAATCGCAAGATCGTGACATGTCACGTGCGACTCTGCGCACCGCTGCGCCCCACCGGAGGGTCACGTGACACTGTCGCGGCATCCGATTGGCCCTCACGGCTCGTAGCGTCCACGGCGGTCCGGCTTAAAATGAAACGGAGTATGGCGGGAAGAAGACCGGGGAAGGAAAAGAGTTTCGGGCGCAAATTCGTCCGCCCGGAAGCTTAATCTGGCAAGAAAGTCGTACGAAGAACTCGTTTTTTTTTTCAAGATTGCATAACGAGTTTTGAATTTAACGGTACTCGAGTGTGTGCCGATTGATACCCGTACCGTCATTTTTCGTATAAAGACGGCAATGTGTAAGGAACAACACGGAGTGTTAGGAGTGCTCTTTCTCGGTGCGGTCGTAGCTGCGATCCAGAAATCTGAAAGGAAAGATTGAAGTCTTGCGAAGTTTCGCGAACTAAACCAACTTCTATCAAACCTGAAATTGTTTTGCAGATACATATCTACGGCGGGATTTTCAGGATTTGCGTCCGAACACCTCACGATTTAAGCAGAATGCAGTAGCCATTCCCTCTATGTTAAATTCGTTTCAAATGGAAGCTTTTTTTTTTCGTTATTGTATACTGCTGACAGAAAGCAGGTTTACATCCTATAATTTCCAAAGGAGTCATTGAATGTTGCTGGTTCTGTCAATAGCCAAAAGTTTATCTCACGTATCCACACAACTCAGGATGCAATCCTAAAAAGGTTCTGCGCTCCAGCGCAAAAGTACTGAACCGACAAATATTCGGAGCTTGCTTTCCCGGATCAACATAGTCAAATGAACAATAACAGTAATAACACCATTTTGAGAAAATCTACGTTCTGCAGTGTCATCTTCCCTTTTGTGCGAGGGGTATGAGAGAGCTTAAAAGGGGTCCTCCGGCGACATTTTTAGGCAACGGACTGTATTTTCTGAATCCCCGGCCTTTCCCCTTTCCGGCATGCTATTTAGCATCGCGAAATTCATAATTCTTATTGTGAAATCGGCGAAATTCAGATATACCCGCACTTTTGAGTGCCGTGACGTCATTGGTAGGCAGGTTTGCAAGTCGAGCAGACTATGCCAAGCATTTTTTTTCCGTGCTGCTGCGCAAGTACTGAAGCGAGCTTCCAAAGCATTCATTTCACACCATGAACCTGCTTTAAATCAGTGTGGAACAAATTCTACACTCTAAAAACGGAACCTCTGCCAGCCGCTGGCGCCACTTTTGCGTTGTCGCCAGTAGACTTTCGGTTTGAAAAATACGGTGAGGACCAAAATTATAAACTCAACAACTTTGCCAGAAAAAAAAAAATTATATATATATATTGACCTAATATTTCGGTTATTATTTCAGCTATATTTATTGGTGTGTTTCGCAAATTTTCCGGCAAATCTGGGATCATGAGGAAA